AATTTCAACCAATTCTAATGTCGTTTGACAGTTTTATTCAACTTTGGAAATTTCCCGTCCATAAGGGGCTGTACAAAGTTTTTGGTCTTCCCCCTGCAGCTCACAGAGAAAAAAAATTGAGCCAACCGACGTTGATTTGTCATGTAACTTTTCCATATCTAACCACCTGTCAAGGAATAGTCCGAAAAAAAAATTAACATTTTTTCGCCAGAAATTTCGCTGGCTGAAACCCTTGCGATTTTTCGGAATTTTCCGTTTTATTTTTTTTCTCGAACACAAAGCTTCCTATCGGAAAAAGTTATTCTTTATAAAATTTCGGGCTCACTGAAGAATATCCAATGGTATTTTTATTAACTTTCCAGCTTTCGTAGTTTTCGAGAAAATCGCGAAAATATGGTGCCCAGAAAACTGCAAGTATCTCGGTAACCAAAAGAGCTGAGCTGAATCTAATCAGTCCAGTCGATCGGCCGTCTGAAGCTCCATAGAAAAGTTGCCATTCACTTTTTCGGTACGATCGATAATAAGCGAGCAATTGATAATTTTCTAAAATAATGCAAAATTTTGGGGGAAAATTTTCCCAATTTTCCCCAACTTTGTGATGTCAAACTTCGGTCAAATTTTGACATAGGAGGTTTTTAAATATCCAAAGCAATCCATTACACTTGATTTTTTTTTAATCCTACTCAAGTATAAGATCGATGACGTCATTACGTCCCTTCAAGAGTGAAGTCCCACAGTTTTGGGAAAATTCAAACTTTTAGAGTGTCAATCTAATTTATCGATAATGCACCAATGCACATACCAATACTTTCTTTCAAGAAATAAAAATACCTACACGATGAGACGATCTAAATCATCATAAATCCGTTCGTTTGCTTACTCAAAAGCAACAAAAACTGCGGATTTTGCGTTTTTTGTTAACTTGCTATGATTAATTTAGTTTTGCTTCTACAAAATCGTACCACAACTTTTCTTGACGAAGCTTAAAAATTGCCAACTTTTTGTTCATTCCTATTTGTTAC